CCTGGCACATGATAAGCATTTAATAAATGCTTGGTAACTGACTAATACCAACAGTCTTCTGGTGTATGATTATGTGACTGTGAGAAATGGAACATTGCAGTCTCCAAAGACTTAAAAATGAATATCACCCAGAGGGCAATAGCGGATGCATGGTGGGAGTGAGCAGGTGAGGACTATGATAGAAACCAGGTGTAGGAGATGTCATCAGGAGAATGAATGACAAGAAAAAAGTCATGAGTCACCTGACAAAGGGAAAGGATGACAGGTGGACAGTCCAAGTACTCTCTTCTAGTATTCTCATGATGCCAGGAGAAAGTGAGGAAGGCCTCTAACATGCTGGTTGGACTACCTGTAGATTCCTCATGGAAGAATTTGGTCAAGAGTCACAGACGTAAGGGACAGCTAGGTGGCACAATGGATAGAGCTCCGGCTTTGGAGTCAGGAGGAGCTGAGTTCAAATCCGACCTCAGACGCTGGACACTTACCAGCTGTGTGACCCTGGGCAAGTCATTTAACCCCGATTGCCTCACCAAAAAAAAAAAAAAAAAAGAGTCACAGAGGTTGGATAGGATAGGATCCGAAAGGGTGGAGGGAGCTACTAAGCTGATGAGATCACAGATCCATTCAAGTTGATTTTAGTATTGTTGGAGATCCCTTTAGATCAGGGGTTCTTAACCTCAGGTCCGTGATTTCAGTGAAGAAACTTGAAGGGGGAAAAAAGAAGTCACATTTCTATGTGACCTCTAACTGAAATTTAGCATTTTCTTCAATTATGTATTTACAACAATGTTCTGAGCCTTCTCAGAAGGTACATAGGCATCATCACTCTGCTGAAGGGGCCTAGCTTGCAAAAAAAGTTAACCCATGGTCTAGATGATTTTTTTTTCACCAGGATAAGAATCTTGTTGTTACACCTGTAGAAGAATCCCTTCACATGTCAGTCATTTCTGAGAAGCCTAGCTCTTTTGCTATGCCTGGAAGAAGAAAAGGAAAATATAATAACAACAGAAAATCCCATTTTGCTCACCTTTCATACTGGCCCTGACCATCTTCTTGCTAAGGTGGACCTTGATGGCATCTAAGGGGCTAAGATCTCTTTGCCAAGGCAGAAGAAGGCCCTCAAAGTGAGTGGCTGGGATTAAGACCTAGGAAGATGGGGGCAGGGTGCCTGGGGCTAGTTACAGGTTGCCTCCCAAGCAGACCTAACCCCTCCCATTATCATGGCTCAAGAGCCCCACTGAACTCTTTGCTGGTCTCCGTGTCTTCAGCATTGCCCTCTAGGTTCTGGGAAGATCTTAGGTGTTCGGTCTTAGGGTCTTAGGCATCACTGTTGGACTGCTGGGAAGTAACCTTGGTTCCAGAACAGCTGGAGTTCGGCAATGAGGATGGAGTGACAGAATGATACTGGGGCTGTTCCTTATGGATCATTAGACAGGGTTTGTAATTCTTATTTCACCGTTCATGAAAGGATCTCCGAGTGTTTAATCAGCTACCTGAAGCAGCCTTCCTCACGTTTACAGATGGAGAAGTTGAGGTGAGGGTGTGTGGGTGGTTGGGTGGGAACAATGCCTGCCCTGGGCTATCACTTACCCATCCTGGCCCTTGGGAATAGCTCTAATTGGCAGCAGCCTTTCCTGCTGTCCCTGGAGATTCTCTCAGTCACAGCCCAGCTACTTCTCCTTCTGCTGAATGCTTCTTATGAAAATGCAGCTGGGCTTTTACTTCCAGCATATTGTTTGATAATTGGATTTGTCTTTTCCTACTGTGTCCAGGAGGGGAAACTGCGCTGGTAGGATATCGGTGTGAAATAGAATGAAGAAAAAAATCTCTGAGAGAGCAGATCAGTTAGAAGCAGGCAGGTTGCTGGATCTGGAGGTGAGGGTGGCAGAGGAACCACGGGAGTCCTGTCTGGGATGGGATAGATGAGGATGGTATCAGCGTCCTGGGAAATCCATTCAGTCTCTTGGGTTTTTTTTTTTTTTTGCTCTTAACAACATTCACTAGAAATGGATCTCATGGAGCTCTTTCTTTGCCCTGGAATTTCTTCTTCCTGGCATTGATCAGCATGGGATTGACGGACAATAGTTGGAGAATAAACTAACAGGGTTACAGATGGTCATGGAGATCAGAGCTGAAACTATGGTGGGGTGATGAGAGCTTTTCCTTAGGATGCTGAAGTTTAGAGGGGCTAATGATATCTGCACTGCTTCCGCAGTGTTCTCTAGTCCAGGTCTAACTCAGGCCAGTCCAGTTCTTAAGACTCAGGATCAGAATGCAATTAGAATGAGCTTGTAGACCATTTCACATTCAATAAAAGGTTTGCTTAATAATAAAAGGGAGATTCAATAAGGATAGAACACTGATTCAGGGGGACACAGCTTTTCTGCCTCTGCATTTGTCATGGTGGCAAATGAACGTCAGAAAGATAACGTTGACTTTCACTGCATCGAGGATTCCATTAAGCCCTAGGAGTTCCAACCACATCCTTGTAATCTGGACTTATTACACTCTAGGTGACCAGGAATCCATGTTAATATCTGGAATCCCAATCCCTCAATCCAATCAAGATTCAAGGATGATTTCCTTTAAAGAAAAACTAATCCAGTATGCAGGAAACAAATGTGACTCTAATAGGCAGGTAAAAACAACCACCTCTGTTAGGTGTTAGGGGTGGGGAATTTGTGGCCTTGAAGTCACATATGGCCCTTTGACTGAATCCAAACTTCACATCTGTCAAAGTCAAAAGGCTGCGCTTGAGGACCTAGAGGGCCACACGTGGCCTTGAAGCCCCAGTTTCCTTGCCCCGAAGGTATCTAGTTAGCAACAATAGTCCAAACGAGTTCTGCAGCTTAGCTCCACCCTGCCGTCTCTCCAGCAGGGTCCTAAGGTTATCCCAGTGTTTTTTTCTCTACCTCCCCTCTATGGTGCCATATTTGGGGGAAGAGTGTCTAAGGTTTCCCTTTCCCCAACAACTGAATTTGTCTTTAAAAGTTGGTAACATTGAGTAGTGAATAGAGTCCTGAACTTAGAATGAGGAAGACCTGAGTCGGAATCCTGCCTTAGACACTTACAAACAATGTGATCCTTGGCAAGTCATTTAACCTCCCTTAACCTCAGTTTCCTCAACTGCAAAATGGGAATGACAATAATACCAACCCCCCAGGATTATTGTGAGGATCAAAGGAGAAAATTTATGTAAATTGCTTTGTAATTCTTAAAGTGCTATACAAATGCCATTATTATTACTATTATATGTTAGGAATGACCAAGCTTAGAATTTATTTCCATTAATATTGTCTTAAAATTTATTTATGTTCTATGAAGTGCTACATTTATTTCTCAGTAATATATGAGTTATCCAAGGTTGTTAGTTAAGGCATGGAGAGGGACATGTCAAGGGCAGACTCAGCATACATTTATTGAGTGCCTAGCACTAGGCATGATGGGGAATAGTAAGGTAATAAGGGATCACCCTTGTCTTCAAGAAAAATATAATTTATTTGGGAATACAAAACCAACACACACAAAACAATTAGGGAATAATACAAACCATTATAATGAAATGCAGGTTTTGTGTTGGGAAAGAATGGCCACAGCATCTGGGTCCATCTCTACCTGCTCTATCTTCATGGGGGTCTGGTCTGCTGTTAATACCATACCACCTGCTAGGGGCTTGTTAATCCCCTTATTTATCCTTGATCAAGGACCTGAAATAACATCTCTCTTCTCCTTAGTTCAGCTAAGTCAAGTTTAGACTATTTTCTACAACAAATTTTTACTTGGAAGTTAAGGGAAAACCAGAAATCCCACAAAAGCCGAGAAACAAATAAGTACTTAGTACAGATTTCAGAACAGAACTTTTAATATTCACTTAATGATTAGTTTTACTAACATCTTTTATGGAGCATCCATCCAACCCTCAGTTCCTTTTTCTCAAGCTTCTAGCTAGAGGTAAATTAATCTTGGCAATGATTCTGGGTCTGATGCATTCTTAGTCCCTTTCCAGAACCTCCTTCCTGGTTCTTTCCTCGAGCCCCAGGCAGTGACTGTTCCCTCCACTTCTTAATTCAGAAAGACATTTCTTTATCTGACCCCTAAAACTTCATCCTCTAGGCTTTGGGCCAATCTGCACTGGATTGATAATTGCCTTCTCAGCCCACCATGCGGAGGTGGCTCCAAGCCATGCTCTCCTTTCTAAGTGGTTTCTTTCTAACCATTTCTATTTGGGCAAGTATCATCTTTCTCTGGAGCTTGTCTGAAGAATATCAACTCCTTCCAATCACTGATTAATGACATTTGTAAATCCATCAAAAGTTGGCCATGTTATCTCATCTGATCCTCACAACAGCCCTGAGAAGGAGGTACTTTTTCTGGTCCAGATTTGTGATTTCATCAATATAGGGAACTCCCCTTGAAGAAATTCCTTCCACAAGATCAGCAAATGTTTGGCATTTTGTGGCCTGGGAGAGCTGTCTCGGGGCACTGAGAAGTAAGTGGCCTGCCCAGGGCCACACAATCAGTATATATGAGAAGTAGCACTTGAATCTGGCTCTTCCTTACTCTGAGGTCAGCTTGTTTTCCACTATACAAGGCTGCCTATAGTACATAGGTATGGCAGGCTTTATTACTTCCATTTTACAGATGAGGAAATCAAGGTTCAAAGAGTCTAATTTTAAAGACTCAAAGAGTCACTTTTAGTGACTTGCCCATGTTGTTGTTCAGTTGTTTCAGTCCTATCTGACCCTTCATGACCCCATTTGGAGTTTTCTTGGCAAAGATACCAGAGCCAATGGTTGGCCATTTCCTCCTCCAGCTCATTTTACGGATGAGGAAACAGAGGCAAAGAAGGTAAGACTTGTTAGAAGTTGGATTTGAACGTCAGGTCTTCCTGACTCTGGGCCTGGTACTCTGTTCAGTTGGCCACCTAGCTGCCTGTGATGACGTGGCTAATAAAAGTCAGAGGCAGGAAGAAAATCCAGTTTTCCTTGACTTAAAATCCAGCAAGCTATTCATTCTGTCACTGGAGAAACAGATTCTCAGTTGCTTCCTATATCAAAGGTCAAACTCCCTTCTGGGTTGTCGTCAATGTTGTGGTTTCTAGCCTGAAGGATGCCTCGAGCTCCCAGTTTTTGGCAAAGCCAAGGTAAGTGCCATTTTGTCTCTAACTAGCTTGACGAGTGCTAAGGCCTTTGAGGTTTGCTCCTCAAGGGAGAACAATACACTCGCTGCTGTAAGGAATTATAATTTTCCTTTGGGATTCTACATATAAATGATAACCTAGATTGGGATGGTAGTGAGATTTCAGAAAAGGCCTTAATTTACTACTTAGAAAGGTATACATTCTCTAGCAAGTAATACAAATTCCTTTTCACTTGGGGAAATACTGGCACTTGCAGTTAAAAACGTTCTAAATAACAGGCTTATTTGTCTATACCTTTTGATTAGGGGTATAGAATCTAAAGACCATCTCGATGCTGGCAAAGCCTCTATCTCTATACTCTCTAGCTCTGAGTGGTGAGTTCAACCCCAAACACTCTTTTGAGGAAGCACCCCTGCCTGCCAGTCCTTTCAGTTGTGTCCAATTCTTCGTGACCCCATTTGGAGTTTTCTTGGCAGAGATTCTGGAGTGGTTTGATATTTCTTTCTCCAGCTCATTTTACAGATGAGGAAACTGAGGCAAATAGGATTAAGTGGCTTGCCCAGGGTCACACTACTAGTAAGTGTCTGAGGCCAGATTTGAATTCAGGAACATGAGTCTTCCTGACTCCAGGCTTGGCACTCTATCCACTGCAGCTGCCCCCATGCCTGTCATGCTTACTCTAGAGTTTGGTCAGTCCATGATTTCCAGACTCCTTCTGGCCCTTAGTACACCTAGTGCTTAGCACAGAGCCTGGTACATAGTAGATGTTCAATAAATGTTTTATCTAGGAAGTTTTATCATGACAGGTAGATGGTACAGTAGATAGAATGCTGGGACTGGATTGAGGTACATTTGAATTCATATTTGGCCTTAGACATTTATTGGCTGTCCACTCTGGGCAAGTCACTTAACCACTGCCTGCTCAGTTTTCTCTTGTGTAAAATGGGGATAATAATAGCCTTGTCTTCCTAGGGTTGTTGTGAGAATAATTCATAAGGCACTTTATAAATGCTAGTTATTATTACAGGTAGGTTCCAATTAGTGTGAATAATGAATTCTGTAAAATTATCACATTTGAATGTGCACTGCACATTTCCTTATATATAAGGCAAATGGAAAGTAATCTCAGAGGGAAGATACTAGCAATGTATGTATAGGGGGATGGGGCAGGAAAGGCTCTTACAGAAAGTGAGATTTATGGAAGGAAGCCTTAGCTATATAAAAATGGTGATTGAAATGACCATATTGTTAATTTAAAAATTTTTTTTCATTACATTTGTTAAATACCCATTGTATATAATACAGAGCATTAGGACATATATCAACCCAGATATGTTAAAATGTTAAAATTCCTTAAGGGCTCCTGTGAGACTGACCATTATCAGGGATTTAGGTGACAGTGGAACTTGGATAAAATTTGGGGAATTGGGAATGGGAGAGAGCCATGTGGTGGGTATAAACTGGAGGTCAGAAACCAAGCAAGCACTAAGAATCCCAGGCAAGCTCAGAAATCAGAGGTCAAGATAAGGTGATAGGTCGGAAATAAGGCAAACCATCAAACCAGCAACACACAACCCCCTTCAAGTATGTTAGCACAGCTGAGCCTGGCAGTGGAAAGGCAGCAGCTGTACCCGATAACCCGAGAAAACATCAGGCTTTCTCCCCATTGGTGGTGCTAATCTTGTTGGAATAGGGAGTGCAGGGTCAAAGCCAAGGGTAGATCTGCATGGTATCAACTTTAACCACATAACAGGACTCGGGTTAAAATCAGGATTTTCTGGGTTGGGGTGTGCTGGTAAATGTTTAATAATCAGATCTCTGGGGAAAAAAAAGGTATTCATAACACATTTTAAAGTTTAATCTTCATTATTAACATTTTCTTCAGCACTTTAAGTCTAGATAATAAACAAAGCAATAAATCAATCCTTTATTTGTAGCATTTGCTGTTTTCCAAGGTGTAAATTTTCACATTGAAGATTTAACACAACTAACTCTCAAGCTAGTTCCAACGTGTCTCTCCTTCTATATAATCAGTAAAAGTCAATCACCAAGTAATTATTAAGCACTGACTGTGTATTAGTCGCTGTGCTAGGCCCTGAGGATAAGAACACAAAGAACGAAACTATCTCTGTTCACAGAGCTTCATTCTAATGGAGGAGACAGGTTCATATAGAGAATAAATATAAAGTGAATAAGTATAAATACATACAGAGAAGTTAAATACAAGTTAGTTTGGGAGGAAGAGCAATAGCTGTTGGAAGGATCAGGAGAGGCTCCCTGTAGAAGACTGAGGTCTTCTTGAAGGAAGAGAGGGATGTAATGAGGCAGAGGCGAGGAGGGGTGCATTCCAGGAATGGAGGATGGGCCTTTGCAAAGTCACAGGAATGGGACATAGAGTGCTGTGTATGAATGCCAGAGAAAAGGCTACTTTGGCTGGATTGCAGAATGTGGGAGGACAGTTAATGAGCCTGGAAAAATAGGTAGGGAACAGACTGTGTAGGGCTTTTAAAGATACACAAAGAAATTATACATTTTATCCTAGAGGTAAAATGGAAGCCATTATGAGAGAATACAGGAGAGACATGGTCAGATCTATACGGCATACCTCATTTTATTGTGCTTTGATTGAATGTACTTCACAAATACTGCCGGGGTGGGGGTGGGGTTTAACCAATTGAAAGTTTGTGGTAACCCTGCATTGAGCAAGTCTTTGGGTGTCACTTTTCCAACAGCTTACACTGTGTCTCTGTGTCGCATTCTCATAATATTTCAAACTTTTTCATTATTATTATATGTGATGCGGTGATCTGGGATCAGTGATCTTTGATCTTACTATTGTCATTGCTTTGGGGCACTGAGAACCGCACCCATATAGGACGACAAACTTAATCAATGAACATTGTGTGTGTTCTGACTCTTCCATCCACCAGCCATTCATTCTCCTTCTCTCTCCCTCTCCTCAGGCCTTCCTATTCCCTGAGATATAACAATATTGAAATTAGGCCAGTTAATAACCCTTACAATGGCCTCTATGTGTTCAGATGAAAGGAAGAGTCATTTGATGAGGCAACCTTCATTGTTGTCTTGTTTTAAGAAATTGCCACAGTCACCCCAACCTTCAGCAACCACCATCCTGATCAGTCAGCAGCCATCAACATCGAGGCATGACCGTCTACAGCAAAAAGATTACCACTCACTGAAGGCTCACTGAAGGTTAGCATTTTTTTAGCAATGAAGTATTTTTAAATTAAGGTATGTACTTTTTTTTTTTTAGACATAATACTATTGTACCCTTAATAGGTTACAGTACAGTATAAACATAACTTTTATATGCACTGGGAAGCCAAAAAAATCTTGACTGGCTTTAATGAAATATTTGCTTTATTGCCGTGGTGTGGAATGGAACTCACAATATCTCTAAGGTATGTCTATCTGGAAGAAAATCATTTTGGCAGTAGTGTAGAAGACAGAATAGTGGGACGACTGAGGCAGGGAGAACAAGAATGAGGCTGTTACAGTAATCTTGGGGAGAGGTGATGAGTTCCTGAACCAAGGTGGTGGTAGCTCAATGAGTAGACAGAAGAGTTCAGATGTGAGAATTGCTATGGAGGTAGAAATGGCAAGATTTGTTAATTAATTGGATATGTGGGGTGAGGGAGTTGAGGATAACCCTAAGATTGTGAAACTAGGAGACTGAAAGAATGGTTTTGCCTTTGACAGAAATAGGCAAGTTTGGGAGAGGAATTTGGGGAGAATGATAATGAGTTTAGTTTTAGATAGCCGAATTTGAGATGTCTCTGGGACACCCAGTTTGAAATGTCCAAGAGGCATTTAGTGTTGTAATAATGAAGCTCACAGGAGAGACTGGAGTTAGATACAAAGATATTGTGAGTCATTCATAGAGAAGATAATTAAATTAGTGGGAACTAATGAGGTAGTTGAGAAAAAGTGTAGAGAGAGAAGAGTAGCAGAACTAGAACAAAGCCTTAGGGGACATCCAGTTAGAGGTACAATCTAGGATGGTATACCAGCAAAGGAGATTGAAAAGAAGTGGTTAGACACATAGGAGAACTAAGAGAAAGGAGTGTTTTGAAAGTAGTGTTATGAGGACAGGCGAGGTTGTTCAAATCTAGCCTCAGAAACTTGCTAGCTTTGTGACCCTGGGCAAGTCACTTACCACTGTTTGCCTCAGTTTCCTCATCTGTAAAATGAGCTAGAGAAGGCGATGGCAAAACCACTCCAGGATTTCTGTCAAGAAAATCTCAAATGGGGTCACAGAATCAGACATGACTGCAAATGACTAAACACCAGCAAGAAGGAAAGACCATCAGATTTGACAATTAAGAAATCTCCAATAACTTTAGAGATAGCAGTTTCATTTCCAAATGAGGTTGGGAGCCAGATTGCAAAGGGTTGAGGAATGAATGAGAAAAAAATGGAGACAGTGAGTCTAGACAGCTTTTCCTATGAGTTTTCCAGGAGAAAAGGAGGAGATAAAGGATGGTAGCTTGAGAGGATGGTGGGATTTAGTGAAGATTTTTTTAAGGATGGGGGAAATGGACATATTTGGAGGCAGTAGGGAGGGAACTAGGAAAGAGGAAAAGGTTGAAGATTCAATAGAGAGAGAAGACTCTACTACAAGAGAAAGGGATGCAAAATGACCAAGTGGGTGGCATTTCCTAAGGCAAGTGCTCACCTGATTGATTTGGGACCTCTTCCATGACTGTGGCTTCCATTGCTAGCTTACTGGGATATTACAAATAATTGTAGCTCCAAACCTTCTAAGCCCAGTCTTTTCTTCGTCTCAGGCCTGGTTTTTATATTTGTGCCAAACTTCTTGAAGCTAGAAATTGGACCTTGGCAGAGAAGCTGAAGCTGGATGGCTACATCAACACTGATGTCATCACTGCCCAGAGCTGTAAGTAGGGAGAGGCAACTAGGAAGTTGCTTAAAGGCATAAAATATGTCCTGCATAAGGAGGACATATTTCTTCCCCTAATGATCCTTTAACACTTTATGAAGCTCTGTTGTCTGCACCAACTGTCCAACTGTATCTATAGATTGACTGCCTCTGCCTCCTGGACTGTCCCTGGGCTGCCACTCCAGATGTTTTAATGAGAAACGGGTCCATTGACTAGTCTAACAGACTGCAGGCTCTAACTTGCAGAATTGGATGGTGAAGGGAGACTTCAGCTGCCCTTTGCATCTCTGCAACCCACCCTCCCTGCTGCCTCACCTCCCCTTCTGGCCTCTATGCTAGGGATTGGGCCTAAGAGTTGTCAGCTGGAACCCCAGGGTAGGGCAGAATTTTCCAGGGGATATGCCCCCCTTGCCCAGTTTGACTACCTATACATAATCTGGATCAACTGGCAAAAAAAACAACCCCTCCCTGTATCCCTGCTGACCAGCCCTCCCTACTCCCCTCCTCTGGCAGCAGCTTCCCCAGGAGCGCTCCTCCACCCCCGTCTCCATCCCCACTGTTCTGGAGTCTCTCCCTGCATACGACTCCCTCCTCATTCTGAATTTGTCCTGCGCACTAAAATAACTCCTAAAGTTGTTCTTGTTCTCTCTGTGGATTCTCAATTCAGAGAAGGCCTCATAGGATCACAGACTTAGGGTCTGAAGAGATCATCTAGCCCAGTGATTCTTAACCTTTTTTTCTATGGCAGACCCCTTGGGCAGTTTGGTGAAGCCTATGGACCTTTCCTCAGAATACTGTTTATAAATGCATTCAATAAAATACATAGGATTACAAAGGCAACCAATTACATTGAAATATAATTACGTATTTTTGAAGTTCATGGATCTCAGGTTAAGAAGGCCTGATCTAGTCCAACTCTCTCATTTTACAGAAGAGGAAACTGAGGCCCAGAATAGTTGAGTGACTTTTCCCAAGTTTATACAGGATATAAGTGACTGAGCTAAGATTGAAATTCTTTATAATTTTTTTATAATTAAATATATAAATATAGTCTATGAATTTATATAATTTTATTAATTTTATTTTTTTTAATTCTCCCTATCACCTCCAAAACCTGATTCAGATTCTAAGCTGACATTTATGAGGAAGACTAAAAAAAAAGAATCAATTCAAAGCATTATCCAAATGTTATTCTTCCATTCATGAAGAATCAGAGCCTGATACCACCCCAGGAGCCTCCTTTTGGAACCTTACCCAGCCTAGGCAAGCCATAGATCTGCAAATTCCACTCCAGAAATTCCTTTTCTCCAAGACCCCATGCATGCTCTCATAATTCCCTTTTAAAAGAGGGGGGAAAAAAAAGATCTGAAATAGGTTTCAGGAAATATTTTCTACCCCCTTCTGACCAGCCAAAGGGAGGTCTAGAGAGACTGAAATAAAGAGAAGGGCTCATTGTAACCTAGCATCTCAAATACACTGGAAATAGTTTTCAGATTCTGAAATATAAGGAAGAATAAAGCAGTTTCCAAGAAAATGGTTTTGGAAAACTTCCTGGGAACTAGAGGGTTTTTTCCCCTTAAGTAATGGTAAGCACAGACCTTTTTTTTTTTTTTTTCCAATACAGGAGACTTCCATACAAGTACCCTGCCACCCATACCCAGGAACTTCCGCCCAGTTTTGCATTTCCCAGTGCCTGCTCCCATGCTTTCTGAGTCTTTAGAGCTGGGTTTCTTAACCCTTTCTGTGTCATGAATCCCTTTTGAAGTTTGATGAAGTTTTGTACCCCTTCTCTGAATAATGTTTTTGAATGTAAAATGTAATATAAAATAAAACACACAGGAATACATACAAAGGAAATCAATTATATTGAAATAAAGATGAAAATTTTTTTCCCATCTAAGTTCACACCACCATCTTGAAATCTCTGCATGGATCGGTTGGGAGTCCCTGTTTTATTATCATTATTATTATTATTATTTATTGGCAATGATCAAAGTCAAAGTGGTTAATAACGGCTTTATATAATTTTTGGTTGCTTATGTTTTGTAAGATATTTAAGGGTTGGGTGGGGTTAGATTTTTTTCTAAAAGCTGGCAAGCACAGCCTTAGATTCATTATGTGTTTGATTTTGAATTAATTTTTGGTTGTTGTGCCTTCAGAAACCTTTTACTGTTGCCAAATTTTTTGCAACCCCATATGGGGTTGTGACCCATAGTTTAAGAAGCCCTGGATTAGATCACCAAGCAAAATAGTATGGAGAGATAAGAGAAGAGAGCCCAAGACAGAGCCTTGGAGGACACCCATAGTTAGGAGGTGTGATCCAGATGAAAATCCCACAAAACAGACTGAGAAGTCTGGGAAGAAGTTTTTAGACCCAGAGGACTATTATTTCTTAATGTGACTCAGGTCTATGAGACTCTTTCCTCATTGGTGGATATCAATGCCCTGTGCCTGCATAAGGGGCAAGGTGGAATTGGTGAGAGCAAAATATAGGAGAACTCCAGTCTCTTTAGAGTTTTTTTGGGTCTCTAGAGTTTCTTTGGACTTAGAAGGTTTGGAGCTGTGATTAGCCAGGAAGATTTGACTAGAAGTTTAAAGTTTAATTCTGCAGGGATCAGGCTGGAGCGTTTTCAAGAACCTGAGACCTAGAAACAGGGTTCTACACCTGTTTACCAAAGAACCATGTGCAAGATACATCTGTTACTTGATGATTCTAGGTTATATACTTGTGACCTATAAGGTGATTAAAGCAATTAATTAGTGGGCCTAAAGGGAAATCTCTTTTCAGGAAAAAGGAGTCTAAAGCAGATGTGAGCTGAAGCTTGCTTGAATCATCTCCAGACTGCTGATTGTTCAATTTTCAGCATAAGCATTTATACCCTGGAAATTGGCAAAAGCTACAAATCAGAGTTTGATTCATTGTTTCGTTGATTATTGACTTAAAAAAGTGATGGGGAAAAATGTTAATGTAGATTAAATTTTAAAGTGTGTCCCCCTACATTTTTCTTTTTTTAATTTTAATTTTGGAGGCAATGGGGGTTAAGTGACTTGCCTAGGGTCACACAGCTAGCTAGTAAGTGTCTAAGGCCAAATTCGAACTCAGGTCCTCTTGACTCTAGGGCTGGCACTTTATCCACTATGCTACCTAGTTGCCCCCTACATTTTTTCTCAGAAAGCCAATTGTTAAACATTTTTTAGCACACCTCTAAAATTTCAGTGTGTTTAACCAAAGACTGTGCTAAGTCAGACACTAAATTCACTTATAGAAATGATAAATCCAAGTGGCTAAGATGGGACAGCAAGCTAGGAGTCAGAGAAGGGGCTTCAAGCTATGCAGGTCTATATGGAGACTAGTAAAAACATTATTAGAAATACTGGAAAGTTCAATTCAATTCAATTCAGTGCAACAAACATTAAGTGGTGACCAAATAAAAGGCATCATATTAGGTGCTGGAAGTACAAAAAGAAAAAAGAAAAAATATTTCTTGACCTCAAAGAGCTTATATTATAGCAGAAGAATAAAATAAAAACCCAGAAAATTATATACAAAGTAATTTGGGGAGGAGGAGAAATTTAACAAATGAAGGATCAGGGAAGGCTTTGGGATTGTAGCTGAGCTGAATCTAGTAGGAAACTTATGAAGGGCTGAGATGATAGAGGAGTATATCCTAGGAAAGACTTGGGCAAATGCTCAGAGGTGGTAGATGGACATAAAGTCTGGTGGATAACTGGTAGCCTCGTTTGGCTGAAAAGTAGAGTAATGTGTTGTTGTTGTATGTGTGTGTTGAAAAGGAGGTTAGAGCAAGATTATCAAGTGCCTTAAATACTAGACCGAGGATATTGTCTTTTATTTTATAGGGAATAGGGAGCCACTGAAGATTTTTTATTTAAGGAGGGTAGTCACAAAGTCATACTTAAGTCTTATCTAGATTATTTTGTGTTATGTGGAGGCTAGTTTGGAGAAGGTTGAAACTGGAAACTTAGAGAATGAAGAGGTGACTGCAATAGTCCAGGTGAGAGGTGATGAGGACTTACACTTGGTGGCCCAGGGAGTGAAGAGTGATGCGGTTTAGGGGTTCCAGGGTGCTGGGACCCCAAAATCACAACACATGGGTCCTGCCTGAAAAAATTCGACCCAAGCCTTCTTTCAGCCAAAGACAAGGTTTATTAGAACATTCGTCATATTGGGCAGACTCTTAAGTAGTCTGAACATGGGTAAGTAGTGTTTAGATTATAAGAATCTAAGCCTTGGCTAGATTGTAAAAATCTGAGCATCTTAATGGAGACAAGATAGACCTTATATACAGAAAGACCATGGGAGAGTGGCCAAGTAGTCCATGAGGTAATAGAAATCCCAAGGGTGGGAAATGGAGCCTAGGTGGGACCAAGGGTGGGAAGTGGCCTGGGGCCATAGGGAGGCAAGACAATAGCGGGGAGATTGGGTGTAGCCACAATGAAAGACCAGTTGATGGGACCATAGCCACCAGAGATTTGGCCATGTGGGAAAGTACAGAGTCCATGAGGTAATAGAATTACCAAGGGTGGGAAATGTTCTGGGGCCAGAGTTTTTCCTTTCTGGGGCTCAGATTCCAACCCCATCAAAGAGGAGATCAAAATGAAAGATGCGAAGGTAAAATCAACAAAACTTGGCAACTGATTGTATATGTCGGACGAGAGGAAGGTTGCAAGGATCACTTGAAGTTGTGAATTTAGAGTGAGGGTGAAATAGGTAAGTTTGGGGAGGGACATACCTCTGCCTTCAGAAGTGAAATGAAGTACAAGGATGGAGAGCAAGTGTTAGCTGTAGCTTATTTTTACCAAATTAATTTTTAACTTGGTTTTTAATCTAATCCTCCCTCACTCCTCTTTTCATCCTTCCCAGTCACCCTAGCTTTTTTTATCCAAGAAAACCAGTCAGATGAAAGGACAATGACCTCTCTCCCCATCCCCCCATCCCCCCAAGACATTCCAATTCTCTGAGGAGGGGAAAAGAGTCTGTCATTCATTGAGGTCAAGTCCACATTCTTGAGGAGTTCATCACATTCCATCATTCATTCTGACTGTAGAGAGAAGGAAACTGAAACACTCAGAAACGGCTTAAAAGATGAAGGCAGGATTAAATGTCACAAGTTTGACATTTTTCCATTCAGCAGCTAACCCTTGAAGATATGGTGTCTACATTCCTAGCATATGGGGGCACCTATTAGATAAAGTTTCATCAGGGCAATATTCACATCTCCTCTCCTCTAAAGTATGTTTCTGCCTATTCTTTCCCACCTCCTCCCTTCCAATGAGCATGAATCTATCACTTGACTGCTGTGGTTATTCTTTGTCCTTCAGTCTCGAAGAGGACCATGACATCAGGCTAGATACTGAGGGATAGCCAAGACCAGGGTTGTAACTAAGATCGGGGAACTGGAGCTTTGCCTCAGAGCACCAAAACTGAAAGGGTGCTGACAGCATTTGTACTTTTTCAGCAGATTAAAAACAACTGAATTTTGGATTAAGTCAGCTAGGTAATGAATTAAAATAGACAGCTATGAGTTGCTGTGTTCTATTCATCCCCAATCTAGATTCCAGATGAATGCCTTCTGGCCCATCTCACCCTGCTAATGATGGGGTACAAGCTCAAGCTGAGACCTTTGCTCCTTACCCCAAAAAGAGTTTTGGTCGCATTTGTCTATGAGATTCTCCTTGAATTCTCCCACTTGATCAAGGAAATCTCTAGTGGTCCTCTGAGATTATATCCCCTATCAACTCTGTTACCCTTAACCTGGCCCAGCTCTTCATTGTCTATTACCTCCCGATGGCCTCTGGCTACTTCTCACCCTTGACCCTATCTAGACTCCATTCTCTCCCTCCTAGTCACTTCTGTCAAGATCCTTCCTAAATCCCTCCCATAGGCTTTCTGTATATGAGGTCCATCTTGTCTCCATTAAGGTGCTCAGATTCCTTAAGAACCTAGCCAATAGCTCACAAATGTTCAGATTCCTCAAGAGTCTGGCCAATATGGTAGATCTTTGATAAACCTTGTCTTTGGCTGAAAGAAGGCTTGAGTCGAATTCATTGAGGCAGGACTGAATGTTGTGATTTTGGGGTGTCAGTACCCCTAAATCTCAACATTTTGGTGGCCTGTATGGGGAAGCTGCCTAACCCCAAGCTCTTCTTCAGCCAAGACTGAAAGGTATGTAAGCCTTCCCCCTCTTCTTTCTTGTCCTGCAGTTGGGGGTCACTCTCCAAGCACCTAGGAAGGCTTGGAGGTGCTTTTTGGGTAAACAGTTACGAGGCTGTCTCGCATTCAGCCTGACGCTTTCACACTGTCGGTCCTCCAGTTCAACTGAAGGCCATGGACCTGAATATACCTTCTGCAGCATAGAGGACAAGGACAGATGCCCTATCTGGAGGTGTATGCCCAATTCTGTTAATTCTCTCGGTGCTAGGGAATTGGGAAAACTGCCGGTGCTTTTTGGTTCCCTGAGGCTTACTTACTCCCTTCCCTCTACACCCCTGGATCCTCCTTCATGGGAGGCTACAGGAAAAAGTTATAACAGTTGAAAACGTCTTAGGAGATTCTGGAGGTTTTGTGATCAATCATTAAGGAGTTTTGAAACATCTCCTTACAGCTCTGGTCACTCCCTTCTCCCACTCCCTTCCCTTGAGTTCAAGATGGTATCTTTGTTCACCCCTCTCATAGGAGAAGAGAGTTTCACCCTTTCCCTCTCTCCTTCGAATTCACCCTCCCCCACTTGGTGAAAGGAAGGAGGGAGGAGGGGTAGCAGCTACAGCATGGGCCCCATTGGCAATGGCCTTGGGCCCTGGGGCAACCT